TATATATCTATATTGTTGTAGTTATTATTCAAATTTGAAAGATTTCAAACACGTCAAATTTGTACTAAAACAATATGGACATTGTTATGTTATTTCGTGGTTTGCTACATAACGATATAATTATCGTTTCAATATAATTTTGACAACATCAATATCGTTTCAGTTTAAATCATAAATAAAACAACATATATATCATTTAAGTTTATATAAAAAATATATAAATATATCGTTTTTGCTAAAAATAACGATTCAACGATCCACGACCACCCGACATGTATTCGACATAAATGGGACGATTGAAATAGGTCAACAAGTGGATTTGATCTCACTCAAAAGAAACTATGGGAACATTTCTGTCCCCACGATTGTATACAACATCCGAACTATTTCTATAAAAACAAGTATCTTCGATCGTTATTTCTAAGTCATTTGAATGTCATCAATCCACTTGATGACTTCTTTCGACTGTCTTAGGTATGTTGAAGACGTGTTGAGCGGTTGTGGACGGTCGAATCGTTATTTTTAGTCAAAACGTTATAATTAACATTTTATATGAAAAGAAACGATATCTATGTCGTTATAGTTATTATTTGAATTGGAACGATTTCAAACTCGTCAAATTTGTATTAAAACAATATGAATGTCTTTATTTTATTTGTAAGTCTGATACATAACGACGTCATTATCGTTTCAATACAAGTTTGACGACGTTGATATCGTTTTAGCTTAAATCATAACTAAAACTACATACATATCGTTGCTATTAAAATAAAACGACAATTATATCATTTTTGTTAAAAACAATGATTCGACCATCCACAACCATCATACATGAATCTGACATATGTAGGATACTCAAAATAGATAATCAAGTGGGTTTGATCTCACTCAAAAGAAACTATGGAAATATTTCCATTCTCACGATTGTATACAACATTCGAAATATTTCGACAGAAAGAAGTATCTTCGTTCGTTCTTTCTAAACCATTTGAATGTCATCAACCCATTTGATGACTTCTTTCGATTGTCCTAGGTATGTTAAAGACGTGTTGAGTGGTTGTGGACGGTCAAATCGTTATTTTCAGTCAAAATGATATAATTAACATTTTATATGAAAAGAAACGATATCTATATCGTTATAGTCATTATTTAAACTGGAATGATTTCAAACTTGTCAAATTTGTACTAAAACGATATGAATGTTGTTACTTTATTTGCGAGTTTGATACATAGCGACATCATTATCGTTTCAATATAAGTTTGACGACGTTTATATCGTTTTAGTTTAAATCATAACTAAAATTACATACATATCGTTGTACTTAAAATAAAACGATAATTATATCATTTATGCTAAAAACAACGATTTGACCGTCCACCACAACCAGACATGCATCTGACATACGTAGGATGCTCAAAATTGATAATCAAGTGAGTTTGATCTCACTCAGAAGAAACTATGGGAATATTTCTGTTTCCACAATTGTATACAACATTCGAATTATTTCGACAAAAAGAAGTATCTTCGTTCGCTCTTTTTAAGTCATTCGAGTGGTATCAACCCACTTGATGAATTCTTTCGATCGTACTTGGTATGTTAAAGACGTGTTGAGTGGTTGTGGACGATTGAATCATTATTTTCAGTCAAAACGATATAATTAACGTTTTATATGAAAAGAAACGATATCTATGTCGTTATAGTCATTATTTGAATTGGAATGATTTCAAACTCGTCAAATTTGTACTAAAACGATATGAATGTCGTTACTTTATTTGTGATTTTGATAATAACGAAATCATTATCGTTTCAATACAAATTTGACTACGTTGATATCGTTTTAACTTAAATCATAACTAAAACTACATACATATCGTTTCAATTAAAATAAAACGACAATTATATTGTTTATGTTAAAAATAACAATTCAACCGTTCACGACCACCAGACGTGTATTTGACATATTTAAAATGATCAAAATAGATAATTAAATGGGTTCGATCTCCCTCAAAAGAAACTATGAGAACATACTTGTTCTCATGATTATATACTACATTCGAACTGTTCCAATAGAAAGTATCTTCGTTTGCTTTTTCTAAGTCATTCAAACGGTATCAACCTACTCGATGACCTCTTTCGATCGTCTTACATATGTTGAAGGCATGACGGGTGGTTGTGGACGGTCGAATCGTTATTTTTAGATAGAACGATATAATTATCGTTTTATATGAAAAGAAACAATATCTACGTCGTTATACTTGTGATTTGAATTGGAACGATTTCAAACTCGTCAAATTTGTACTAAAACGATATGAATGTCGTTACTTTATTTGTGATTTTAATACATAACGATATCATTATCGTTCCAATACAAGTTTGACGACGTTGATATCGTTCTAGCTTAAATTATAACTAAAACTACACACATATCGTTACAGTTAAAATAAAACGACAATTATATCGTTTTTGCTAAAAATAGCGATTCGACCGTCCACGACCACAGACATGCATCTAACATATGTTGGATGATCAAAATAGGTAATCAAGTGGGTTCGATCTCACTCAAATGAAATTATGAGAATATTTTTGTTCTCATGATTGTATACCATTTTCAAACAATTCTAACAGAAAGCATCTTCGTTCACTCTTTTTAAATCATTTGAGTGGTATCAACCCACTTGATGACCTCTTTCGATCGTCTTATGTATGTTGAAGCATGACATGTGGTTGTGGACGGTCGAATCGTTATTTTTAGCTAGAACGACATAATTATCGTTTTATATGAAAAGAAACGATATCTACATCGTTATACTTGTGATTTGAATTGAAACGATTTCAAACTCATCAAATTTGTGCTTAAACGATATGAATGTCGTTACTTTATTTGTGATTTTGATATATAACGATATCATTATCATTTCAATACAAATTTGATGACGTTGATATCGTTTTAACTTAAATCATAACTAAAACTAAATACATATCGTTTCAGTTAAAATAAAACGATACTTATATCGTTTCTGCTAAAAATAATTATTCGAACGACTACCAAGCATGCATCTGACATATGTAGGATGATCAAAATAGGTAATTAAGTAGGTTCGATCTCCCTTGAAAGAAATTATGAGAACATTTTTGCTCTCATAATTGTATACCACTTTCGAACTATTTCGACAAAAAAGTATTTTCGTTCGCTCTTTTTAAGTCATTCGAGTGATATCAATCCACTTAATGACCTTTTTCGATCGGTCTACATATGCTGAAAGCATAACAGGTGGTTGTGAACGATCGAATCTTTATATTTAGCTAAAACGATATAAATATCGTTTTATATAAAAATAAACGGTATCTATGTCGTTATCATTGTGATTTGAATTGGAATGATTTCAAACTCATTAAATTTGTACTATAACGATTTGGAAGTCATTGTCTTATTTTGTGGGTTTGATACATAATGATACTATTATCGCTTTAGTACAATTCTGATAATTTTGATATCGCTTTAGTTTAAATCTTAACTAAAAGGATAATTTTAAAAATGACGATTTGATTGTCCACGGTCACCAGACATATATTTATCGTATGTAGGATGATAAAATAAGTCACTAAGTGAGTTCGATATCATTCAATAGAAAGAAAGACAGTATCTCCATTCGCTTTTTCTAAGCTATTCGAGTGCTATCAATCCACTTGATGCCTTCTTTCGGTCATCATATGTCGTTCTAATTATTATTTAAACTGTAATGATTTCAAACTCGTTAAATTTGAAAAGAAACGATGCATATGTCGTTCTAGTTATTATTTTGTGCCTAGGGGGAAGTTTCAAAATCGTTATTAGAATAAGAGCATTTTATACTAAAACGACATCAATTACTTTATATGTCATCGGAACGAAGTGTATATCGTTACATGAATATGCACAATGTTCACATTCTAAATATGTACAATACGTAAACTTGAAAATTATAAAAAGTCACGAAAATATGTAAATTATAATTACATTTAATATCGTAGTTATAACGTTCTAGTGTAACCACTCCTAAAACGATATGTATGACATTATAGTTACGATTGAATATGAACGATATCATTCTCGTTGAAAATTGAATTGAAACGACATAACGTTGTTTACTTATTTCATAGCGTGCACCTATGTGTGTTTGATATCGAAACGACATATACATTATTTTTTGTATTTCAGGAACGAGTTCAATGTCGTTATACAAATCAGTCAAGTAGATGCTTTTTATTAAAATCTAATTATCGGATTCTAAATAAGATAGAAATTTAAAAAATATTTTTTGTCCATTTTTTTTTTCAAAATATAACGATAAAATTTATTTTAAAAAATTTCACGTGTTATAATAGGTGTCTAATGAATAAATGACTCAATAATTGTTTTCAATTAGTTGCTAAGTTATGGACAATGTTAAAACTTTGGGTGCATCGGAGATCTATTACGAAGAAGAGATGACCTTAAACTTAAAAAGAAGAGTTCAAATTCTAACGAGAAGATAATTTTGAAGGGGAAGATTTTTTGAATTCGAAGGAAGAGAATGTTGTGTGTGTTAGAACATGAATGTATAGATATTAGAGCCAACCCGATAATCTACTCGAAAAAAATCACCGGGTCAATGGTTCAACCGGTGGGTTATTGTTAAAATTTAATTTTAATTAAATTTTATATTTGAAGTGAAAATGAAACAATTTTTTTAAATGTAATATATATACTTTGCTCACAAAAAATAAAGGACCATCACTTGCCATAATGGTTGTGAAGTTAAAATATTTTCTTTCCATCCAAGGTTCAAGTCACGAGTTCAGCAAATTTAGGAAAAAACTCTAATTTCTTCTTCATTTTTGTTTTACAAGTTAAGGGTAAAAAAGTCTTTTGACACTTTTAAATAATTAAATTTTTTTTTTTATTTTTATAATTTTGGTCAAAGGCCAATTGGACAAAATGTCTATTAGGTGTGGCCTTTCCAACTCATTTCCCCCCAATTTTTGCTCCTCCCTCGCACCCGCCAGCCCTATTCCGCCACCGCCATTCTTCAATTGAAATTCCTCTTTCTTTTTCTTGTTCCCTTGCCATTGACGATCAAAGGTTAAACATCAGACACCGTTAAACGAATACTTGGAACTGCAAGAGGTTTGATTTTTATTTATTTATTTAAATAACGTGTTAAATATTCTACTATTGCTACTTTACTTATAAGATATGTTCTTATGTAATGTTGTAATTAGAGGATTTCATCTATCTGATGTTCCCAGTTCTATTTTTTGTATTGGCATTTGTTTTTCTCAATCACTATTGCCAGCAAGAAATCTTTGTTAATATACAGGGTTCATGTTTTTGGTAATGTTATTTCTTTTGTGAAAAGTAATATGAAATTTATGCTCGAATTGAGTGTTTTTGTTAACTAACATACTTGTCTTTTATTTAGTCTGGAAATTGTTCATCTGAAGTATTGAGAATTCCAGTGATGACTCTAATCATAACTTGGCTCAGGTGCAACACTACCTTCACTCCACACCAACCGGCACCATGCCTTCCCCACCCCTCAATGCGTGTCCGTGAGTTGATTTGGTAAACAGAGGAAAACATGGTAGTCTATTTCAACTTGATCGAGTCTATTTTCACCATATTGGCGTGGGTTTTGACTTCTATATACCGTTCTGGTCTTTGGATTACCTTCTATATATTTTTGCTACAAAATTGATGAGCAATTGTTTCCTTCCTTAGGGTAAAAAGTTATCTCGTCAAATTGTTTATTGCTTTGTTCATCCCTCAAATTGTTTATTTCAGGTGTTAATTGCAGTTTTCAGAACATAACTGCCCAACTCAGTTTATCAATTTGTAATTTCAAATTTCAGATTCTGGAATTTGGTTTCTCTTGGGGGACAAGGAAAACTCTACAGGACATATTGAGATAAATGCTTCAACAGTTTCCAGCAGCAGCTTTTGCTCCATGGAGTCCTTCAATTAAGGGTAGGAACCATAAATGTCCTTCTATTAACTTTATGCTACCAACTACCTATGGTCATATGCTATAATGGAATGACTTTTTCCTGCCAATACATGCATCTATCGTATTCCTTGAATATCTTAACAGCAAATATAAAAGCACGTATATATTGGGAACAATACTTTGTTTGTTTGTGTTGAATACATTATGGTGCTTGAGAGATGATAGCAACACTATAACTCAGTATCAGCATGTGTGTCCATTTAATTTCTAGTGAAATTAAATATAAAGTGACATTCTACTCCAGGTTGCTTGATGCTTTTTTATCTTTCTTTTCAGGTGCTTTTCTTGGCACCACAGAGCGTAAGATGCACCAACTACCGGTTTCAATGTTGTATTTTTATGGGTCAAAGGTATCTTTCACTATTTTCCAGAGTTCTTTTGCCCACATCATCATATTTATGTTTCTTCATTTTTATATATCTTCTTTGGTGAAAACAAGCTACATAGCAGATATTGAGTGTAGTAGAATCATGTTATAATCCTCCCTCATATAGATTTCCAGATGGGGAGAAAGTTGTTGTCAAATAGAACGTTGAGTTCGTAGGAGGCTCTCAAAATTACTACTTCTAAATCAAAGGGTATCTATAGTTTTATTGCTTTCATATTTAAGTCCATGAAGCCATAGATTAGGATCTTTTTGATGCATTCTCTATTCATCATGTTTCTAGCACCAGCACCAGCACCAGCACCATGAACCTCTAGGTTTGATGGGCATGAATGAGTCTTTTGCAAGTGAACAAGGAAAATGACGATAGGTTCTTCCATCGACAAAATCCCTTATCATTTGTTTTGTAGGAGAATTTGTCCCTACTTGTTTGAGGGTGCCCTTTTATACCCTTTCTTGAATCTTAATTAGATACTTGCATGCAGTTTCTTGTATCTGAATTAAATACTTACATGCTGTTTGCATATATAATCAAATTTATTCTTTGTCTAACTTTGAACCGGGAGTTAAGTTTACACGCTCTGAAGTCTTGGCCATGATTTGACTTAAATGCCTAGAAATATACTTTTTGATGCCATCTTTATTTTTTAAGGGTATTTGATCTGGAGGTTGACAATTTGGATTTCAATTGCAGTTTGGCCATTTATATGAGGATGCCTGTGCCACAGGTAGACCTAGTATCTTCTTTTGCGCTGAAAGGAGACAGGCTAGAGTAGGTTACAACAAAAAGAAACATGATGCAGTACCTCAAAATATGGATCTTCCTCCAATACTGCCCAAGAAAAAGAAGAAACCCTATCCCATACCTCTAAAGAAGATTCAGGAGGCTGCCAGAGCTGATAAGAAGCTTGCCGAAAAGGGAATAGAGAAGCCTCTTGAGCCTCCTAAAAATGGACTTCTTGTACCTGATCTTATTCCGGTTGCTTATGAAGTACTTGATGCTTGGAAAATATTAATTAGAGGACTTGCACAGCTCTTGCACGTTATTCCCATCCACGCTTGTAGGTAACTTGTAAAGTAGAGGAGGAATTTTTTTTTACTTATACTGCTTTTTCTCATTTTGTGGTCATATATTGATCAATAATAGATGTATTGGGCAACGGGAAGTAATTATCCAGTGCTCCTTCCTTTATTTTTTTGGCAGTGAGTGCTCTGAAATCCACATTGCCGAAAGTGGACATGACATTCAAGATTGTTGTGGCCAAACCAGTGGAAGCCGCAGAAGTTTTCACTCATGGGTGAAGGGTTCTATTAATGATGTACTTATCCCCATTGAGTCATATCATATGTACGATCCATTTGGTCGGCGCATTAAACACGACACTCGATTTAACTACGAGAGAATTCCTGCAATTGTTGAACTCGGCATCCAAGCTGGTGTTGAGTTACCAGAATATCCATCAAGGAGGAGGACAGAACCCATTCGAATGATTGGGAAGAAAATAATCGATATTGGTGGAATTGTTGAGGAACCACCTGGACCTCACAGCTTTGGTTATTCAGGCTCATCAATTGTGGACCTCGACACTCATCGAGCTCTAGAGCGCGTTCCTCCTCCGGTAGAGTCAGAGGTTCCTACAATTGCACAAGAGACTATGAACGCATACGAGAAAGTAAAATGGGGCTTGCGGAAGTTAATGAAGAAGTACACAGTGAAGGCATGTGGATACTGCTCGGAGGTTCATGTGGGTCCCAGGGGCCACAATGCTAAACTTTGTGGTGAATTTAAGCACCAATGGAGAGATGGAAAGCATGGCTGGCAAGATGCCACAGTCGATGAAGTGTTCCCCCCAAATTACGTATGGCATGTTGAAGATCCGAAAGGGCCTCCACTGACAAGTGCACTCAAGAGGTTCTATGGAAAGGCTCCAGCCGTGGTTGAACTGTGTATGCAGGCGGGTGCTCGAATACCTTATAAGTACAGGCCAATGATGAGACTTGACATTGTGGTGCCGGAAAGTGAGGAGGCTCGCTTAATTGCGTAACAAGGTTTCTCAAGAACCCCCGTCCTTTAAGATTCTGAGTGAAGTGCGGGCGGATCGTTGGTTGCCAAGTTTTTCTGTCGAATTATCTTTTTAGCCTTTTTAGCTTGATCTCAGTCCCGGTGATGAATCTTGTCGAGCATTGCACAGGACTAGTTGGATTCTACATAATTATAAATTAGAGGTGGAGGAGTTTGTACATTTTGATTAGAAGTAGTGATTTTTCTCTTAATTGTTAGTGACTGTGTTTTTCTAGAGTTAATTGTAGTGATTGTAATTGAAGTTCATATAAAGTTTCAAGTTGATTACTTACATATTATAATCAACATAGCCTTTGTTTGATCCATATTATTTTCAAAATGCATTTTTCCCTCTTCATTTTAATTACACAATCTTTAGAAAAATAATATTATTTGCAAATCTAAAAAAAAATTTCTTCATTCTTAACAATATATTTCCATCAATTTATTATTTTAAAATGCATTCTTTGAGTTAAAAAATTAGGCTCAAACGGGTCCTAGTCGCTAAAGTTTATAATGATTTCACCCTTAGTCGTATGATTATTAACAACTGTCGCGTTCAATTTTTCAAACCTAGTGACCGCTAGTGAGATTATTATAAACGTCAGTGACCAACTTGAAATCATACCCAAACTTCAGTAACTATTGGTGAAAATAACTCTTTCGTATCATATGAATTTGATCGGTACATAAACATATATATATAAGAATGTCCATAATGTCACATGTCATTCCATCATTCGCATGTTTAAAACACAATTAACTTTTTCAATCAATTTTTTCTCACCATATCATATTATGTAATCCTTTACGTACATTTATTATGGACACTTAGCAAAATCCTATGAATTTCTGCATGACTTGTAGCAGATTAAAGCCCAAGAAAATTGCGTGGATTGGTGCAGAGAGCGTTATTCTTTTATTATTACCCAAAAGAAAAGCCCAAAACTTCACACAGTGACAGACTACCAGCAAAAACTCTCTAGGAAGTTAGGAGAAGAAAATGAAGGGAGTGAGCATGATACTGCGTCGTTTAACACGCAGCGGTAGAACCCCGTTGCTGGCTTCTGGGTCATCTTCGATTGGCGAAAACCTAATTCTATCCTCCGCGGCCACCGTTTCGTACCTCACTCTCGCCGATGTTCAGCCCACCCCGCTATTCACTTCCCAAATCGCCCTTACTCCCAATTCGAATTTACAATCGTTCCATGTTTATAGTCATTCCCGAAGCTTCTCCTCTTCAGCTTCCTCAGGTCTCTTCCTTTCTCTATGTGTGCGTGCGTGTGTGTGTGTAATTTGGGTTATTTAATACATTAAAGGATTGACAAATTAATAGTATTTATATGTATAAGTATGATGAATATTTGGGCAAATGATGCATTACTGAATTTGGTGAAACTCTGTAAAGAAAATCTGATTTGTTTTTAAAAGTTTTAGTTCTTCATTTGTGAGCATTAGTTTGTGAAACTAGAAAATAAATGTGATTTAAGTTCAATAAATCCGTGCTAAATGCCCTCCACAACCCAACAATAAAAGAAAGAAACAGAGAAACTGCTGCTGAAATGTCTGGAAAGGAATTACAAAACGAATTTATGTAATCATGCCAACTTATTGTATCTTGGTAAAATATGTAAATGAATTGACACGTCATTGATCTAAATCAGTACTAACAATCAGTTTTGTGGAAAAGTTTGAAATAAATCCATTGGTTCTACTCATTTAGCGAAAGGGAGGCCCTAATGATGAGTGAACTCTTTGTGGGTGAAGCTCAGTTAAAATGATAAGTTACAGTTGGGATGTTAACTATCTACATTTAGTGCAAAAGTAAGGTTCATAAATGTTCTTTTGTACGCTGTGTCATTCTAGGGCCAATTTTTTGGGAAGAGTAGTTGGTGACTGTTTCATATATTTATGTTGAAATGAAGAAAGTAATGTGCTGACTGGTGAGGACTTGGAAATAGATTGGTTGATGAGAAATGAGAAATTGGTGTTGGTTTGCGGAAGTTCATTTCTTAACTTATGCATTGCCAAGCATCATGAAAAGGTATATGAAATCGTCAATAAATAATGGGATGAAAATATCCGAATTCTCACATTTGATCATGATCTTAGTCGTTTTGAAGCGAAAATTAAATGATTGAGAATAGTGATTAAATTGCTTTGGTTAGTCACTCACAAGTGCAATAGATACACGATTTTAGATACGTCCTGGATGATATTGATTTTACTACTAAAACTAGATGAGTAATCATTTATTGTTGAGCACCAATCCTCTATTGGCATGTAACTTTGATATTCTGAAAGATTAGCACTTTTTGCACTTTCAACTACAGATCCGAGCAATATCGTGTTGATTGAGTCTGAAGAGCAGTTTACTAATTCACTTCAGAAAGTTCAAGGTATAAATGTATAATACATGTACTGTTTACTTTTATTAACTGGTATTAGCCTATACTTTACTCGTAGATTTTGCATAATTTCACTGCTGACTGTAATTGAAATTTTGGTGTCAGATGAATCACTGCCAGCAATATTTTACTTTACAGCAGTTTGGTGTGGACCCTGTAAGTTCAGTATCACGTCTTCTGGCGTGTATCCTAATCTCATTTGAGTCATGAAGAGGAGTTGATTAATAAACTATTTTTCCTTGAATTCACAATATGCTTGATCATTTTCAGGCAGGTTGTTATCACCTATCATTGGGCAATTGAGTGAGAAATACCCTCATGTCACCACATATAAAATTGATATAGATAAGGTAAGATAATCTTTCGGACTCGATTGGTTCCTTTCTAAGTCTTTGAGTAGTGTTTCTGAGAATTGGCCTACTTCCCTTGGTAACTATAAACTGCTGAAAATATGCAGGAAGAGCTTGGAAATACTTTAAGCAAGTTGAATATCCATTCGGTGGTAAAGCTACTTTCTAGTTATTATGTTTGAGTATTATTCATGCATGTTGACACTCACCTCCGTCACCTTGTGTAAGGCCAAAAACCCGTTTTCTTTTCTTCTCCCTGCCCACCTGTGGATATAAAACCATTATTGTAACTCTAACACGTCAATAATGAAGGTAGAACCGGATGAAGAATAAATTAAAAGAACGGTGATATAGGCTGTCGAGATGTGACCTAAGAAAACCTTTATTTACTTGGAAATGGGAGAGTTAGATCAAGGTTAATTTAGCTGCAACAGATTTGATTTCGTTGAATCTTTCTCTAGACTCTAGGTGTAGTGATGTATCAAATATTGAAGGATCTTTCTCTAGATTTAGCGATGTATCAGAAATAGTGGCAACATAATGGTTTAGATAGCCTGCCACAAGTTTATTACATATAAGAAACTTGGTTCATTTTTTAAAAATAAAACTTCTGTAGAACTAATTTGAAGTATAAATCATCATCAGATAAATTTCAAGAAGTGAAATCGAGGGGATTTCTTATGGTTTTGTTTTGTTTGGTGTGGGGGGCGGGGGGGAAGAGTCATCTGTAATTTGAATGCAAGAGTTAAGGCTGTAATTTACGAAATACTACGTGGCAAAATTAAGAGCAAGAGCAAGAGTTCTTGATGCATGTCTCCCATGATTAACGATGTTTCACTTTTATGTTCTCCTTGGAATCACTCCATTGCTAACGATATTTGCATGATGCAGCCTACCCTGCACTTCTTTCAGAATGGTAAAAAGGCATCGGAAGTTATTGGTGCCGATGTTGAACGTTTGAGGGATACCATGGAAGCACTCTACAAATGAATCTAGCTTTAGTACATGTTTTATGCCTTGGCTTCAAACAAAATGTGTTATTTTAATTCCTATAATTTCAGTGACTTGGTGTTCTAATTCAGTCATCAGATTAATTTTATTAACAGAAAAATCTTATTTTTTGTATTTGCTGCAGAATTAAATACATACCTATATGGCACGTGCCGGCTGCACCTATATCTTTTTGGTTTTTCCATTTAATTCAAATTTGTATTTACTGAAAAATAGCTGTATAAATATTTCACACTCAATATCAAGTTCATTCAATTTGCATAGTACTTACCTAACTAATCATCACCTAATCAAGTTACTCATGGTAGCACGCGATACTTTGTCCGTATTTGATTTAGTTAAAGATAGGATTTTTAGTAAATTTTGATAGAAAGTTGATCAATTGAGTGAAAAGTTGATTAAAGTTGCGGATTCATAAAATATATGATTAAAAATGAGTTTTTAAAAAGAATCATGCTTGTTGTACAATAATTTTTGGAATAAGTTTGACAACATGTTACGTGGTAGATTATCATTGGACAGTTTGAAAAATACTTTATCTTTTTCATCAATACTTTTTTGACACCTACATCATTGTCAAACATGTTGTACAAATCCATTGTACAAATAACTTATTTCTTTTGAAAATGGGACTAAACGTAAGTTTATTACACGAACATTGCATTGAGAAATTTAAGAACTTGATTATAGTTTATTTGATGAGTGCACATGGAAATAGTTAATATCATCTTAGCCTTTTCGGTTTAGGATCTTATGTAAAGGTTACGCCTTTTATATATTAACATGGGACAAATTGATAAGGTTTGGCAATTATAGGAAGGAAGGACGCATCAATAATTCTGTAATAATTCAACCACCATTTTTAAATATTTAAAGCAAGTAAAATAATCATAACCACATTATAAAAAGGCCCGATTAGGTGTGCGGCGATCGCCAAACACCAAAGTAATTATTTTTTAATTACTTCATCTACAATATTAATGATTGAAGAAGATAACATTTTAATTGCATGGCTATGCCAACAATTTATTATTTATTAGAAATTTCCGCGACATGCAAAATATCGAATATAATATTTAAATAAACATGTATATTATTTTTCCTTTATAGTTTCAATTTTTAAATAAGATGAATTCACATAATGTCAAACACAAATTAAAAACTTTAGTTTAAATCTTGACGCATTTATTTAACATAAAAAAATTATATATACCATGTATTTTTTTTTTTATTGAAACTCTATAGAAATTGAATTGTCTTAAGCACATTCTTGATTTGTAAATATTAGTGCTTCTATGACTTGACATCACTTAGAATGAAGTTGAAGAGTCAATTTCACAATTAGGAATCAACAATTAAAAATCATAATTTATTTGGAGAATTAGGTGCAGGGCATATTTCCTACCATATTAGTACCTTTTATAAATTTTAAACAAAATTACGAGATATTTCGTTTTTCATAAATCATCGTTCATGTACGGTGTATACAACTTCATAGCTTAAAATTAAAGATGCTTCGACTTCTCTCATTCAAAAATGATGTCCCTTCCCCTTAGAGGCTAGGAATATATAATAGAGGACTCATTTGTTGTTTTCTTACAAGAAATTTGGAGGTCGATAGAGGGTTGGTAAACATTGAATTGAAAATTTTGATAAAGAAATTCGTTTGCTCTTATTTAAAGGTTGAACCCCAACCTTAAGGGTCCCCCACCGCCCCTGTCATGGAGTATCGTAAGGGAGGTAAATTGCAGGTTATGCCTCCAAGGGTACAGGGTGGAAGGCTACTTGTACACTTGCACTTACCCAAGAGTCAAATCCATATTTCAGGATTCGAACCCTTGATGCGGCAGCCTCAAACAAAGTTGGATTTCTTCACCCTCCCCTTTTACCACTTGGAGATGTGCCCTGGGGGCAATTCGTTTGCTCTTATTTTCTAAGATATTTGGAGTTCGAAGAAGAGTTGGTAACTATTCTTTTGAGGAATTTTATGTTTGAAAGCTGTCGACGGAAATGGGAATATTAAGAAGTTTATCTACCAAAATAGAAATAAAAATGAAAATATTCAGAAGGCAGTACCTTGACTAGTTTTGGTCCAAAATGAAATTCCCTAAATTATCCCCGAATACGAAGCCGATGTCGGTGAATCATCACGGTTATATTCGTCATTTCCCTCAAACAGCGGCTCAATTTATTCTTGTCTTCTTTGCCACTGTTTCTCCGTATAGCCACCAACTGACCGCTCCCTCTCTCTCACACCAGAACTCACTATCTCGCTCTGTATATACAATAGATCTAGAGAAGATCTGGAGACGGAAGATTACAGAGTGATGGAGCCTGTGATGGATAACAATGCGACGTCGTCTCCACCACAGACGCTGCTCGAGAGGCTTAAAGATTATGGACAAGAAGACGCTTTTGCCCTCTGGGATGAGCTCTCTCCTGAAGAACGTGAACTTCTCGTCAAGGACATCGAGGTCAAAATGCTTTTAGATCTCCTATGGAAATAAATCGTTGCCGTTTTGATTGATTCATGTTTCTGCTAGTAGTCTGTTCTTTTTTTAACATTATGAACAAAGTCTAGATGATTGGGTAAGTTTGTTTTATTGTTGATTTTAGAAATAAAGAACTGCAACTTTGAAACAGTTTCGTGGTTGTGTGGATTGTGGAGGCGAATAATTCGTATGTGTTGGAGGAAGTATAATTCATTCACTGCGGAAGTAGCAGTTATTATTTGTTCTTTAAGATATGCTTTTCAGTTAATTTATTCAATTATAATTTTTGGTGTACAAATAATTTATTGCAGAGCATAGATCTTCCAAGGATGGATCGGATCACTCGATGTTCATTTCAGTCACAAGGTTTCGTCTTTCTATTTGTTTATGCATATGCAAATAAGATTCTTTTTGCTCATATGAAAATTTGTGATTTTAGGGCTTCCGGCAGCAGCGATAGAGCCAGTGCCAGAGAGCAGTGTATCAATGGTAGAGGAGCGTACAATGGAAGAAAGAGAGAGGTGGTGGAAAATGGGATTAAAGGCCATATCAGATGGGAAGTTGGGTGTGTTACTTTTATCTGGTGGACAGGTATGTTGTTAATCACCGTGTATTTTTAGTTAAATTAACAGTTTGAATGTTCTGGAGTGTTTACAAGCTATAACAAAAACTTTGAAGAACATAAAAAGGATATGCCATTTTTTAAAGATGGTGCATGAAATGGTGTTTACCTTTTGTGATAGAGTTCGGTGAGATGCTACTTTTTGAAAAGCATGCACTAATTACAATGTGACGATGAAAGTCTTGACTTATTAGTATAAACAAACAAAAAGCATGCTTTGTTAATATTTTGGAATAGTATTTAATTATCACTATCCGTTTCATGGGGAATACACTAACTTGTGTTCCGTTATGAATGATCTCATGCATAAAGTATGGAAAAGGGTTGTCCAGGAAAAACTACATAATAATGTCGTAAATTGTGCCTTATGGACCCTGCAATGTCATGTCCCTTGGTCCATTATTTAAAAGGAAGACTAAAACAACTGGATGGACTAAACCAAGTTTATGCTTGGGTGCAGAAAGTTGCAACTATATTTATTATAGTTTTACCTTCAGTAAACTATTGTCCCATATCATCTGTCATCCTGTATCTCAGTATTGTACTCTTCAATTTTGAGATGGATCGTGGCACTCAACTAATTATGAATTTAGTTGCTTCTCGAATGTATTTCCTCATGATTGAGTTTCAAATGCAGGGGACTCGCCTAGGGAGTTCAGATCCAAAAGGATGTTTTAGTAAGTAATCACTATATATATATATATAGACAATTCAGTGAAATCTATGGTCATTGAAGTAAATCCCGTTTGAATTTTTTTAACAATTTTGTTCTCTATCACCTTAGGCTTTATTATTTTTCTCCCCCCAGGGTTCACCTTCATCCCAAAATAAAAGAGAAAAATGTAAAGAAACAAGCAGATAAACACATACTCTTCTTTCCAAGCAGTGTGAAAAATTCTCATTTTCTTCTAAATTATTCCATGAGACTATTTTCTTCATTCGCTGTCTCATTGAATGATTTCACCTGTGATTTTTTAATGCGCGGGTTTATGAAGACAGTTTCTCATCTTGTGCCTCACCCGTTTTGGCCTCTTTAAAGGGATAGGCAAGTGATTATTAAGTTCTATGGATGCAAGAACTTATTTTTTCTTTTAGGCATTTGCTTTCCAATATCTGGAACTTTGAAGATTGTACCATGTATTGATTGTAATAATAGTACTGTAATTTTAATTCAGATATCAAACTTCCATCTGGTAAATCACTTTTCCAGCTGCAAGCTGAGCGAATATTGTGTGTCCAAAGATTAGCATCTCAATCAGTCAACGAAGGTAATTTGCATCTTCTATATCCTGCACAATCCTAATTGGCTAATTCATTTAAAGTGCAGCACTTATCATTCTTTAGTACACAGGTTCTACAAGTTTTAAGCCGATACATTGGTACATAATGACTAGCCCGTTCACTGATGAACTCACCCGCAAATTCTTTGAAAGCCATAAATATTTTGGCCTTGAACAAAATCAAGTAAGAATTTATACTTATTTTATTATTTGATTCCACTGTTATTTCTTTATTGGCTCATGGTAGACAATTTTCAATGTAGGTCACCTTCTTCCAGCAGGGAACAATACCTTGTGTCTCTAAGGACGGAAGATTTATCATGGAGACTCCATACAGAGTAGGGTTGGTTATGCAAATTTAATTGGCAACCATATGATTTACCTGGAGCTTGTTAAATTCGTAATTGATATTTAAATTAGCAAAGGTTATTGTACAGAACTGTTAGATATAGTTATGAAGCATAGAATCAAGTCTTCGACTAGTATACTATTGACATTAAAGCACACAGTTTTCTGTTTTTGTTTTTAAAATGTGTATCAAATATTATGCTAATGGGAAATTTAAAACATGCTTTGACTAAGCCTATGTTTGGCATATGTTTATACTATTTATAAATACTCAAAGCAACTTTTTATCCACACATTTTGAGTGACCCACAAGTACTACCCACACACACTTCCCAAACAAATGTTAAGACAGAAACACGACAGCCAGCATCTCTTCTATCTTATAGGAACATTTCTAATTCAACTTATATTTAAATCAGTAAGGCTGTCACAGAAGAATGGTATTAATGTCTTTCTTTATTCTGTTTTATACTTGTTTTGGACTATGAACACACTTTTTAATATGTGGTCATAATGAGAACCTAATTTTCCGAGGCCAGGTTGCTAAGTCTCCTGATGGAAATGGTGGAGTTTATTCAGGTAGGCTAAATCAAGATTTAGTGCATTGTATTGATGTATTGATTAATGTGAAACTGTTTCTTTTGTAATTATTACTTCTTAATTTCAATAGAAATTCTATTTTCAGCTTTGAAATCTTCAAGGTTGTTGGAAGATATGTCCATGAGAGGCATTAAATTCTTAGATTGCTATGGAGTTGACAATGCTCTGGTGAGCTTTCCTTATGTTTGCTAGCATTTTGCCATTTTTGTAGTTTATCTTTTCTCGAGTCATATTCTATTCAGAAATTCAAAGAAATGTTCTTGAAACAGGTACGTGTTGCTGATCCAACTTTTTTGGGTTATTTCATTGATAAAGGTGCCTCTGCTGCTGCAAAAGTGGTCCGAAAGGTGAATAAATTTGTTATTATCAGATTCAATCATGCAAACCTATTATGCCTGCTTTTCAACTGCACCAGGATTTAATGCTGCAATTGAATTAGGTTGCAGCCATGCAACATTTAACTACCATATTTTTCTGTTTAATTATTGTAAGGCTCTTGTTCACCGTCGTGGGCATGACATGAAAAAAATGAATGTACTTTCCATTTCTTTCAAATTTCGTGATTATTTTTCTTTATAAGCATATGTAAACTTAAACTTTTAGTAGATCAAATGCTTGAATTCTAATGTCATTCTTGATTTATATTGTAGGCATATCCACAAGAGAAGGTTGGTGTTTTTGTACGGCGAGGTAAAGATGGACCGCTTTCTGTGGTTGAATATAGTGAATTAGACCCCTCATTGGCCAGTGCTATAAATCAGCAAACTGGTCGTCTTCGCTTTTGTTGGAGCAATGTATTGTCCTTTCTCACTTTGTTACTCTTTTTGAGTTACTTTGCTTATTATCAGTTTAAAATCAGTCCATACGTTTGATACCGTATTTCTGTTTTTTTGGAAGGGGATTTCTTGAGTTTTATAAGCTGATTTGCGTGTTATAATGTTGCATGATCTCAAAAATCTTAACAGATACTTATCAACAAATTATGTTAAAATCTATGGGGATGCTTGAAAAATTATGAAGTCCTGAATAGTAACTTATTAGGAAGCTCTTGAGAAACACGGGGAAACAGACGAGACTTGTAGAAATGCTACATGAGTTAGTTCAAGTTTTATTGAGGCAGTGTACAGTAGAACTTAATCGATTTTTGCAAATGTCATTATCTTGTATTCAGACATACTGCTTACAATTCAAACTTTCCTCATTAGCTTAACCTCTTCGTTAATGCTAAAAATCACTTTTTGCCTATTTATTATCTTTAAAGTAAAAAATCAAAATGATGAAAAGGTTGAAATCCAAACAAGAACAAGAACTGAAAATTTAAATCTCATGCTTAGGTAATCTATATATTGACTTTCTTGACTCCTTCTTTATGCCCGGTTTAAACATGGAGGAGTCTATTTGCATTTTAGTTTCATATCAGTCAGCAGTTTAGAGATGGTTTAGTGCGAAAACTATAAAAGGACGATAATTCTATTTAATTTAATTTGGGCATTTTCTTCTGTTTGAATTAGCTTTCTATTGCTTGTCGTTGATTATCAAATAGGAATAGAGCTATTCTTCTGCAGTTGACATTTTTTGTGTATAGTCTAGAAATTGAATAAATAAATGCTTCAATTCATTTGATATATATTGCCTTCTGTGCTTCAGGTATGCCTACATATGTTCACGTTGGATTTTCTAAACCAAGTAGCAAATGGTCTCGAGAAAGACAGCATGTCAGTAATGCTCGCTCTCTCTCGCTCTCTCTACACACACACACATATACACACACTCACAATAATTATCTAATGAGCACCGATTATATGTTTATATTTTATGAATGCAGATTTTGAGTATTGTGACAATGTTTTTGACTTAAATCTTCGGCGATAATTTAGAACTCAGATATCCTTATGTTTAGAAAAATTTGTAACATCATTTTCTCTAATTGTTGTTGATCTTTAAATTATTAGTCTGCTTGAACTTCATCTAACTTTTCCTCTTGCGCATGCACATTTTTATGTTATTGGACAGTTATTTATTTATTTTTCCCCTTTTTCTTACTGCATCAGTAAATTTTGTCATATGTTACTTAATGATTTAGACTTACTATTGCTTGTATCACCGCCATTGGGATTTGATGTAGAAAGCTTTGCTTAATGATTGCAGCTATCATCTAGCAGAGAAGAAAATTCCTTCGGTTCATGGACATACAGTAGGATATAAACTTGAACAATTTATATTTGATGCGTTTCCTTACGCTCCTTCAACTGCCCTTTTTGAGGTAATAATTATTCCTTTCTGAGAAGCTGTCCTAAATACATTGCTATTGAAGGAATAGATTCATACATGGCACTGAAATAACTTTTGGATGGATTTTTTCCAATATAGGTACTGCGTGAAGAAGAATTTGCACCAGTGAAAAATGCCAATGGGTCAAATTTCGATACTCCAGACAGTGCTCGTCTGCTTGTCCTTCGTCTACATGCTCGTTGGGTGGTTGCTGCAGGTGGCTTCTTGACACATTCAGTGCCTTTATATGCTACTGGTAAAGTATTTGTGGGCACCCATAATTTAGAGAAATAATGCTTTGATTATTTGCCTGGCTATATATTAAATCTGGATGAAATATAGAAGAAACAAATCAAATTTTTTGTTAAACTAAAATAAGTGTTAGTTGATATTGAATCAGGTGTGGAAGTTTCACCACTTTGTTCATATGCTGGAGAAAACCTTGAAGCTATTTGCCGTGGAAGAACGTTTCACGCACCTTGTGAAATCTCATATTAGTTTAGATTATATTTAGGGATTTTGAAACTCAATTTGAGCACATTTTTCTCTTTTTGTTCATTAAATGAGGCTTGTACTTGTCACACATTATGTTTCGGCAATGGTGAAGGAAGTTTGTTTAATAAATAAGATCCAATGAATCTATTTACTTTGGTTTATGGTATTCAAAATGAAGACGAAGCAGGAAATTTATTTCCATTGGCTTCTTCAGTGTTCCTCGTAAGCCTGCAAAATTGGGATTACATAAATTATTTTCTAATAAACGATAAATATGATTGGTAGATAAATGAATAGACTTGCTGGATCCATTAGACTTACGGTAAATATGATTGGTACATAAATTGTTTTCTAATAAACGGTAAATATGATTGGTAAATAAATGAATAGGCTTGTACTTCACTAGTGAAAACCACCTGACTTCTCCGGAACTACCATTTCGCTCCTAAGTAGTGAGGAGTAGGGTTTGGTGATTTTAAATTTCGGGTAAAATTCCAGTTTTAAGTCATCCACTTCAGTCTGTATGCCTATCTGTAAACGGGGTGTATATATAGCAAAATTCATTTTTAATAGTGGTTGGACTTTATCTTTTGAATGGTTACTGTACTTTCAAAGTTGTTTCCTAACTTTTAACTTTTAATATTAATTTTCACCCACCATTTTGAATTGTTTGAAAAAGAAAAAAAGATAGTGATTTCATTTATAATGTCATAGGAATCGCTAGTTGTAAGTATAAGAAAACGGGAAATTTTTCTAGCATTTTCAGTGTATGTAAACTTGGTACTCCATGGACAACGTATATAATAATATATAGAATTGTTTCCATTGATGTTATATATCTTGAAAAAATTTGTAAATTAATTTTTGATCCCACAATTAAGAACATCTAGCTTTACCATTGGTTGAACTTATTTTCTTTTTGAGTTTTAGCATTTGTCGCTTCCAAAAATAAAAATATACGAGACTAAATGCAACACTTATGGGAACACTAATATTGTGAATATCTTTCCGTGTATGCTTGTTTTCTAGAAAAATTAAAAATAATACATTAAATCCAAACTTAGAGAAAATAATTAGCATTGTGATTGCAGTTCTCTAGAAGTTTAAAAATATAGTAATGTTTTGTTTGCTGGAGCCAATTTATAATGTTGGTAGGAGTTAGAGATATTTCAATCCAAATATTATCTTATTAGATTTTTGAGGTTATGATATTTTAGAGTTATCGAAAAATAAAAGGCTAACTAGAGCATTGACACTCTTTATTATTTGGTCACGTCCCACTTTCCTTCGACTCTTCTCACCCCATTTTTTCTCTTGAACACAGGAGATGTCGAAGCAACAGAGTTTCAATTATTCTTTGTGTGAGGAAGTAGAGGAGATGGTGAAGGTGGAGGAGGAGACGAAATAAGTACTCACGTTGCTTCCACATCAAAATATATATGCTAGAATCTTGCAAACTTATATATACTAACTCGTCATGAAAATCAAACAAAAAGAAAACTCGATCCTTTTTTCTCAGGCCATAAGCAAGATGATAAATTACGAGACTCGTATAATGAGCAAAAAGAGAAGAATGTGCTCTCAAAATGAGTTTTAAAATCTCTAATGAAAAATCTCAAGGCTCTTTATGCTAATGCGAGTTTTAGTTTGGGTCTCATACTCCCTTAATTGCTGTAATATTGGCTCATCTTCTCTTGAAAACAATTGTATTCCAATTTTTAGAAATTTCTATTACATACTTTTGGAATGCATATGGAAAGGAATTATGTTTTTGGAACATTTGTCTACTTATTCATCTCAGTAGCTTTGAGTTCTTTTAATTTGGTTTCTTACCATGTTTTAAATGAGGTTGCAAAGAGACTCCATCAGCCTATTTATTTATCCATTTCCTTTGAATCAACGATATATATCAACTAAATCTCACGGTGTAGAGAAATCTTTAACTATTGAAGAACTTTTTTGAAATAATGTCTACAATATTCTATCGGTGGAATTACTTTCTTTGTTTTATTAAAATTATTAATGTTTCTCAAACAACATTTCAGTGCACAACGATAAAATAGTATTTTTGAAATTATTTGAGATTATAATTTTTGAAATAGTATTTTTTCGAAAAATATATGGTTAAAAAAGAAAAAAAGTTTGGGTTTACATGTAATATTTTATTTTATTGAAGAATGTGATTGATAAAAAGAGAGAGAAAAATATATTATAATTTTAATGAGGGCTACAGAATCCCAATACCCAAAAATAATAATTGAAGGATCAAATACAATATTATTATTAAGTTGGAGGTATCTGTTGCAATTTTCCTATACTTTTATATTCTTTTCCAATAAGAAGGTAGATAAGGTCATCGTACATGGAACTAAATCAATAAGTTCATCACATGGAACCAAATTAGTATATATATACACACTGTTTTGCTCCAATCATCAATCGATATTGGGTACATAATGAATTCTCATCAAGCCTAGTATCCACTACACAAAATCGTGAAAAAGGGAGAATCAGACTCCAGAGTCCCCAACGTTTACACGAGTGCAGGGGCGGACCCAACCGTTTTTGGTTGTGGGATCAAAAATTAGAGTCGTGTTACAGTGTCCACATGAATAATCGCGAGATTGACACAATACACACACACATGAGGTCGGGATTATTTTATTTATGGGGACCCCGCTGGGCATGTGAAGGCCCGATCACTTGTGAGGTCATCCTCGCGAGTTGTGCTTAACTCCAAAAATTAATGTGTAATTTTTTAAAACAATATAATCTTTATAAAAATAAGTTAATACGTATTTTGGCATCTTGAAAGTGTTTTATAATTTTATCATTATCAATATTGTTAAATGAATTTTGCTACATGTATAGTATTGTTTACCATATCATTTATGGATGTTGAGCTGACGACGAGTAAATCAAATTGGATGTAAGAAGTAGATGAAATTTAAGTTTAACGAAAAAATAATTAGAAAGTAATTCAAATTACATTTAATTCGTAATGATTTTAGAATTTTTGACATCATATTTAATGTAAAATTTCATAATAAAATAATGTAAATTATATTGGAAAAGTAATTGTGAAAAAATAATAAATGTTAATGAAATAATTGATTTTTTTTAAAAGACGAATTAAACGCTTCTTTTAATACGTACGTTTGACGCATATTTAACTATTTTCGATATCTATTTGGACCATTGGATATAACTACGATGAAATTTTCGTAACAAATTTCTAGATGATGCAAGCGATTTGTAGATTTGGATAGTATATGATCATTGACAAATTTTAAAAGTTACCATATTAACAAAATTTTCGAAATACTAATTTGGAACGGCCTACTTTGATACATCGTAACTTTTGCTATGGCTGACCATTTCGCTCACCATTAAGAAGCAAAAAATTAAGCCATGAGCGCTTAAAAATTATATTAAAAATCTAATATTTCGATTTTATTTGGTATGTATTAAAGTGGGTTGAAAACGGGTTACAACAACCCTTTTCTATAATAAAAATAAAATAAAATAAAATAAATTTGTGGGGTCATTTGATCCTACATGACCCCATGTGAGTCCGCCCCTGCACGAGTGAGAATTCGGATCTCCTACCTTCCAAAACGAGCACTTGAGTCCCCAACCTGTATATCGTTGTGACTTTAGATCTATAACATAAATGGTTAGTCTAACATTTGGCATGCCATATATAGAAAGATAATAGTTAATATCAACTATATTGCATGCTCTGCTGGTAGCAAAGATTAGTCTATTAACAATTATGCTACAGCCTACAGTGCCAAATCCTTTGACATAAAATTTGACATAATGTCATGAGGCATTATGTCATTGGATTGTTTTAAACTCATCTTCTGCCACCTCAAATTATGTCAAAGCATCTATTAAATTTTTTGGCAAGGTTACAAAACTCATTTACGAAAGAACATATAAAACTATCATGTCTATAAACCTCTAGAGGGGGGAGGGAGGACGTTCATATGAAATCATCCTAATCCTCTCAGATTATCAAGCCCCTGTACGATGGCCATTATTTAAGAAAAACAAAGTTTTAAATAGTGAATTTTTGAATAATGTGTTGTTTAAAAGTAGGAAAAAATTTAGAATTTACGTGCAAATTATTTTATTGTGTGAATATGTGGTTGAAAATAAATATGTAGAAAAAGAATTTTGAAAAAAAAGATATTAAACAGGGACCAAAGCAGATTATCTAGTCATTGGCTATGGGGAGCACGGTATCTCTGTGGCACCAAAGGGAGTAAGAATTTATTGGCCAACTTTGCATCACGATGTGGAAAGACCTGTCAAAGAGTTAAAAACTATCAAATAGAGTAGTACTGATATATTTCCTTGCATGAATCCATAAGTCATTTATGAATACAGCCAACATCCATAATATCATTTTGTAATATGAAGATAAGCGTTAGAGTCCATAAAATAAATGGAGTACCATTTGAATTGAAGGGTGAGACCTTTTAGTATAGAAAGTGAATCAGTACTAGAGCTTAACCTTGCAGACAGCATTTAAGTTATACCTCCATAAGCAAAAAAATCTGATATAATCGATTGGAGTTCGTATTCGTCGAATACATTATTGCATTGACAACAGATATTGGTAAAGCAAGTATTAGAAATCTATCATTTGTTGACACCACATTAGGAAGCTTTATCAAAAGCCAATTTGCAATTTGTGAAAGTCAAGATGATTGATGAAAACAAAAAGATACCAAAATCCCAGATAAATATCCAGTTAGCTCCACTCGTCCCTTTTGGAGACACCTCTTCTCCATCTTCCCTTATGAAGCACGTAGGATCGGACAGCATTTTGCTCAACTCACCACCTTTTGTCTCCTGTTCTTTTCCTTCTGCGAAGGACGACCCTGAAAGACAGCTGACCCTGCAGTTGGACCAGAATTCAGTGTGGTGACCAGTTCAAAAGCTGTTGGCAAATCGTTGAGAGAACTTACCTGCTGCTTGTAATCTACTTTTCTTCCTCTTCAAACTTGCATCGAGGATCCTTACTGATATGATCTGGGATAGGCGCTGAACTACCAAAGATTTATTGAATGTTGGTGAGCGGTCGGGACCAAGGTTGGAGCGTATTTGGTGGCTAAAAAAGGTTGATAAAAAAATCTCATGATCAAGCTTT